CCCTGGGATCCCTCCCTCTGAATGGACAGTGGGAGGCCTCCTTCCAGAACCTGCAGGAAGTCATTCAGATCATACATCTCTTCATTTATCACCACGCTACAATTCTCTGGACTTGAACATGCCCCAAGAAACTCTTCATCAACTCAAACCCTGGAACTATACTCTGACCTTAAGACTCCAATCTCTGGAAGATGAAGGACTCCTCCCAGCATCTCCATTTAAGGAGGGCACCCAAGCCAGCAATCTCTTCATTTTCCACCAGGCTGTACTCTTCCAGACATCTCCGGCATGCCCTACCCTTTTCAGCCTTCTTTTATATGTTATCTTCCCATATGAAATGTTAACAAATGACCCCCAGGCCCATAAACGGACCTGAAATGGAACAGAGTCTGATACACAAATTAATTGTATTTACTGTCTCAGAAAAAAAGACTTGTAAGGGAGAGAAGATCCTAAAAGGGAGCAGGGAAGAAGAGTTCTTAACCGCTCAAAGTGGAGTGGGGAAAGGAGTGAGATAATAGTTTCTAGAGGCTTTCAGAGGGGGAGCAGGAGATGGAGGGGAGGGTGTGTGGGGGTTAAGGAGTAGACATCTATAGATATGATAAGCCAAAGAGGAAGGAGTCGGGAAAATCCGGAGTCTGCAGCTGCTGTTCAAGGACGGTCTCACTCTGCAGGCACCTCCAAGTTCACCTAGAGTTCACTTTACAAAGAAACATTGGTGTGTCAAGCAGCTCTGAGCCTCAGAAATCCTTTTGGTTTTTGCCTGGCTGGTTGTTGCATAAACTCCATTTTCCTGCTCCTCTGTAAAGAACAGAAGCTCCAACATATCTAAGAAGTTATTATACTCATTACAGAGCCCAAGTCCACAGAGTCTAAGCTCCAAAGAGATCATCTATTCTCAAAGGTACTTAATAAATGCTTGTTGACAGCCTGAAAGAATAAAAACAAACTGTCCTCAAAAGAATTCCAAACTAGTAAACTAGAAGGAAAACTCCTCCAAATTAATAATCATAAAAGAAATGCAATACAAAATACTCCTTGAGGTTTTACCTCTTACCCATTATCTTGGAATACTTAAATATTGAATTAGTTGAACCATTCTGGGAAGCAATTTGCAATTATTCAGAGTTAAAATATCCATAACCATGACCCAGAAATTCCACAGATAGGCATATACCCCAACAATGAGAATCACAAAAAGAAATACCCTATATACACCGAAACATTTAGAGCAGCATTTTTTTTTATGTAGAAAAAACTGGAAACAAAGCAGATGCCAACTGATCAAGGAATAACCAGACAAACTGGTATATCAATTAATAGAATATTACGTGCTATAAGAAATTATGAATATACTGACTACAGAGAATCATGGAAAGGCTAATATGCAACGTGACTTATGCAGTGTGACAATGACTAAATGAATGTAAAAGGAGGAACAACAACATAATAGAACTGAACACTAAAATTTTAAGGACAGTCTGGCACCAAAGAAGAGATATAAGAGATACTTCCCCCTGCTTCTTTATGGAGGAGAGGAACCAAGGAACTGAAACTGAGTTTCATGTTAGGCTTTTAAAAATATTTCGATTATGTTTAATTTTTTCCCTTCTTTTTAATCCTTTATTAAAAGAGATAGCTGTCTAGGTAAGTGTAAGGAGATGGACACAGTGGGAAAATATAAGTGAAAATGTAAAAACAAGAGATCAATAAAAATTTGTTTTTAAAAAATCAAAACAAAATTCAATCCAATAATTCATCTTTATAACTACTGAAATGATTATGTATTTAATCACTTTATAACCACTCAACTGGTTATATAATTGCCAATTTTCTATTGTTTGATAGCATGATTATAGATTGATATATTTATAATGACAGGACTCTTAACATGGAGTCACTTAGTCTTATGGTTTTAAGGCCCATAGAAGCACATAAGTAAAACAGCTTGTACTTTTCCAGGTTTAACTCTGTGTCAAGAAGGCTTGAAGCTTTTCGATTGGATGGACTCTTGACCTGCAGCAAGGCCCTTGAGTTATTCTTCTTTTGCCACCTTAGATAGTTAATGTTAGCTCCTCCACCAGTTGGTGGTACTAACAAAGAAACTCACCTATCCAAGACTCATCTAAGTCTGTTATTGATAAGGAACCCCAAGAACTTTTCTACCACATCTGGGTCTGATTAAGAATGCCTCCTCCTGGGGTGGAGACAAGATGGCAAAGTGAAAACCCTCCAAATACCTGTAAAAAAAAATGGCTCTAAAGAAATTCTGAAGCAGCAGAACCCACAAAAAGGCAGAGTGAAGCAAATTTCCAGCCCAAGACAGCCTGGATGGTTGATAGACGGCGCTGGGCAGGGAGAGGAGCACAGTTCGATGTGGGCATGCAGGCTGCAGCAAACTTGGAGCAGACCTCAGAGGACTGAATCGTGGGCAGCTGTGGTAGATTCCAGGCTTCTCAACCCACGAATGCCAAAGACAACTTAGAAGGTCAGTGGGAAAAGTCTGTTTCTTCAGTGAGAGAGAGAGAAGCTAGATCCCAGCCACAAGTACTAAGTATGGCCCCGGGGTGGCAGCTGCCTCCTGAGCTTCTGGCCCACAGACTGAGGGGGAATCAAGTGGCTGATCAGAGAGGGATTGCAGGGATCTCTGCTGGTGCAGGATTCTCTTGCTTTGCCCGTGCTTGGATCTGGGTGGCGGTCCTGGGGTGAGGAGGAGGGCTGGCGTGGTGGAGCTTAATTCTCCTCACAATTCCAAGACAGAAAAGAGTGCTTGCGGTCACTCACAGACCAGAGCACAGGCCAGGAAAGGAGTAAACACCTCGCCCCTTATCATACCACCTTGGAAGAACTGAAAATTTACAGGTCCCTACAAGTATCTCTGAACACAGCTATACAAACCCCCGAAGCTTGGGACAGTACATTCTCCACATTGGAAGCAGACTCTTACCTTAACAAAGAGTTTAAAACTCAAGTAATTGGCTGGGATCATGAACAAACCTCACAAAAAGAATCAGACTATATTATCTTACTTTGGTGACAAAGAAGATCAAAACATACAACCAGAAGAAGACAACAAAGTCAAAGCTCCTACATCTAAAGCCTCCAAGAAAAATATGAATCAGTCCCAGGCCTTGGAAGAGCTCAAAAGGAATTTTGAGAAGCAAGTAAGAGAAGCAGAGGAAAAACTGAGAAGAGAAAGGAGAGTGATGCAAGAAAATCATGAAAAACAAGAATGCCCCCTCCTACATCTGGCACTGATTACCTGTTCTCAAACAACCCCATTCTTAAGGTATCTAATCTTGCCATGTGAACTCCAACTTTGAGAGCGTTTCCTCCCTAAAGTGTCACCCCCATGCCAAGAGTTTCTTGTATCCATGAGAATGAACCTCTGATTGTTTATACTGCCATACAGTGTGTGCATGTGCATATGCTTTGTCTGTTTGTTGTCACATAATAATATAGCTTAAAAGAGTATCATTTTCCTGAGCACAAATTTTCTAGAAATTCCCAAACCCAGTTTTAAATTGAGCTGGGAGGCCAAATAAAGTTTTGGGGAGGAGGGGGGTAATAGGTTATGAAGGGCTTTTGAACACCAGATGATTTTGTATTTGATCCTAGAGGTGATAGGGACACATCGGAATTTACTGAATAGAGGACTTGTACTTTAGGAAAATCACTTCTTCCTCAATGGAGGATGAAGTAGAGAGAATTCTTACCAAGACAGTATAGCAATAGTTCAGGTATGCAGTGATTAGGGTCTACACTAAAGTGGTGGCAACATCAAACGGGGAGTTCAAAAGATGTTGCAGGCCTCAGCAAGATATGAGATTAGATTTGATTAGAAATAGGAGACAAGACAGTGAGGAGTCAAGGATGACATCTAGGTTGCAAGCCTGGAGAACGGTAAGAATGGTGTTGCCCTTGATAGTAGTAGTGAAGTTCAGAGGGGGGTTGGGTTTAGGGGGGAAAGACAATGAATTCAGCTTTGGACATGTTGAGTTTAAGATGTCTACCAGACATCTAGTAAAAGACGTCTGAAAAGTTGTTGGAGATGCAGGATTAGAAGTCAGCAGAGAGGTTAAGACTGGATAGGTGGATTTAAGAATTATCAGTATAGAGATGATAATTAAGTCCATGGAGGCTGATGAGATCACCAAGTGAAGTAGTATATAGAGAGAAGAGAATCCCGGATAGAACTTTGTAGAATACCCTGTGTTTAGGAGACATGATACAGGGATCCTGCAAAAGAGACAAAGAAGGAGCCACCAGAAAGGCAGGAATCATTTGCTTAAGTGTTCAAGCTATCTAAAAAATGAAGATGCTTTCTTCATTCCACTTATTAACTAATAAAGTGATTAAATTGATTAAATATTAAGTATGAAGCTCTGTGGTAGGCATTACATAGATACAAAGAAGTATAAGACATATTCTCTGCCCTCAAGGAACTTAAATTAACCTAGATGGTGATATAAGACCTAATATTTGAGAAGTTTTTAAAAATGATATGACTGTAATTCAACTTAACAAAATATCATTTACATATGTGCCAAATGAATGGTATAAGAAATAAGTTAAAATGAGGAAAAGAGAACCAGAAACTATAACTACCAAAAACAACACATGAGTTCCAACAAGGCATCAGTATTCTCCCTTCAATAACCCTACAGAACAGGTAATGAACCTGTATTGAATTTCAACAATATAACTTTAATGTATACATCAATTTGTAAATACCATTTAACAACCAGTATTTTTAAAAAAAACCTTCCTTTTTATGTGTAATATCAAACAATAGTGCCACATTTCATCAGTGAGTAAAAGGTAAAGGTTTATTAACTAAATTATAAACTGTATTGAATTATATTTTTACCTCCCTAACTGGCAAAAATATCTACATTAACACAATTATAAAATTTTCTGGGGAGTAAATAAGTTCTATATATTATGAAATATATACATATGTGTATACATACACACACACACACGTATTTTAATTTTACCTCCTCTTTTTCTTTTCCTTCTTCTGATAAAACGTCAGCTTCTACATCACTCTCAATGCAAGGTAAATTTATAGAAGTAATCTCAATTTCTTCAGGCTCTTTCATGAACAAAGGTTTCTCCTCCTGCTGAATCCATTCCTGATACACTTTCACCACTTTCCTCATAGCAGCTGCTTCACAAATTGGTAATAAAAATGCCTAATCAGAGACACAAAAACATTACTATGATGACAGATAATGCCACATTCTCCTTTGCTGAAGTAGCAAATGTGTATTAATTCTGATACAGAATATGAGATATAAAAATTTTCCCAAACACTGAAACCAACTAAGTTGTGGTCTGAACAACACTCTCTCTTGCCTTCATTTTCAAACATGATTGTCAAGTAGAATTATCATGAAATTAATGAATAAATGAAAGAATTATTAAGCACTTACTACATCTAGACACTGTGCAGATACAAAAGCAAGACAAGTACCAGCCCTCAAAGAGTTGACATTCCAGTTACGGGAGACAATAAATGGAAGGAGTGGTAACCAGGAAAAGGGGGCATGATCTGGAAAATCACAAGGATTGTGAATAGAACAATAGGTCAAGACAATTGACAGGCTTTCTGTAAAAACAATGGTAGTGCTGACTGGATAAGAATTCCCAGAGCAAAGAATGCAAAGCAGGGTGGAAAATACTCATGTGTCAAATCAGAAAATTGCTAAAACCAAAAAGCAGGGTTGGGTCTGAGGTCAGTCAGATGTAGTGAAATGGGCAGCTAGGTGGCACAGTGGATATAGTGAGGCCTAGAGTCAGGAAGACTCATTTTCCTGAGTTCAAATCTGACCTCAGACCTGGCAGTGTGTTTACCCTATTTGCCTCAATTTCCTCATCTGTAAAATGAGCTAGAGAACCAAATGGGGTTATAAAGAGTCAGATATGACTGAAAAAAATTAACAGATGTAGCAAGGTATCACAAATTCCCTATATGTTTGAATGACAATGAACCATGGTTCATGCAACAAATACATTAAAAGTCTCAACATAAAATTTAATTTTTCCACTTATATCAATGATGGGGGCTGGAGGGAGAAACTAACTTCAGGAGAGGTGGGGGTTTTTTTTAAGCACATAAAGAAAAATTATTCAGATTATGTCAATTCATCATGGAATTAAGGTTCTTCCCCCACCCAAGATTCTCAAAAACTCCTCCAGCAGAATGCATGGTCTGAGAAGTCCTATCAAGGTGGAAAGGTTTCAAGGCAGGAGGAATGATAATTGACTATGAGTCTATGACCTAAGGAATGATTTCCTAAGTTTAGAGATGCTCATAGCCAAATGGCTATATGATGATTTGAGGCTACAACAATTGATAAAAGACTAAAACAAAGAAGTATTACAATATGCACTGGTATGAAGAACACTTACACTTATGAAGTCATTTGGAAGTGAAGTCCAAAAAAATTAAAGATGAAAAGTTTTCAAAAAAGTACAAATATTAATTTGCACTATTTAGTTGTGTAAATAAACCTGAAAAAGTGGTCCGTCTAGCAGCTGTCTTGCTTTTTTAGGTTAAAAAAAATTATTGTATCTCTTGTTATTAAATATATCATATTCTCTTGATTTCACTATCAATTCCCATTAACTGCAGATGCAATTAATACTAGAATACTACCAACCCAAAGTACATATGCCCGAAGCTGTCATTCTTAGCCTGCAAAAATTTTTCAGTTGACTACCAATAGCTGAGTACTGCAGGAGTCTCCTGGAGCACCAACCAAGAGCAACTCCACTATCATACTGCTCAGACACAGATCCAGGTCAGGAACTTGCAGCGTTCAGATGAAGAGAAAGCAGCACACAAGACTTTGCCCTGGATCAAACCATTATGGGAACACTAAAAGCTTGCAAGTCGCCAGCCTGCATGATTCCTGAGTTTTTAGAATAACACAACATTCAATACTCCAAGAAAGCATCCAAGGGAGCAAAGAGAACAAAAACTCAGCCCAGATATTCCTGAAAGTATAGTTTCTGGCCCTAGCATAAAGTCTGCAATGAGGAGGTAGACAGGTAGAAAGAGCTAATAAAATCCTACCAAATGGTCTGGCCTGCTTCTATTGGTGAAACAATAAACCTAATCTCTGACTGAAAGAAGGCTGGAGTAGAATTCATTTGAGGCAGGACCTGCATCTTTTGCCCTTGAATTTCAGGGTTCCCAACACCCCTATACCTCAACAGAACTTGGGTTAAACCTTTAAAGAAGCTAGGGATTCTACAAATAGAGGTAATTTGGAACCACTGGTGCTTCCTGAGCAAGAAAGTAACAAGGATTGGTTGAATTCATGGACTTGACCTTGGGGATAGACAGTATCTGACTGGACAATCACAACTGGGAAACTCCAATAAGCAAGTGCAGTGGGTCCTCTTCTTTACTTTTCCAAAAGCTGTCCTCTGCTGGTAGCCCCACACCTTCAGGACTATCTGAGATGCTCCTAATATAGTGCCTGGCACATACTAGGTGCTTCATAAATCAATCATCAACAAGACTGATCCAAGACAATTCCAAAGGATTCGTGATAAAAAATGTCATCCACCTCCAAAAAGAGAACTGATGAACTTGGAGTGCAGATTAAATCATACTTTATTTTTAACTTTAACAAAAAATCCTACCATAGAGAGTTACTGCAGTAATAGATAAACTGAAGACACAAACTCAGAAGAAGAGAAAAACTCTGGAATATCTATACGCAAAAAGCCTGAAGGCAAAACACACCTTGGGCATAGGTTCAACTAGAATTCCTAAAAGAGATAAAGGTTTGGCTTTTTTTTAAAGTTAAAAACGATTAAAAAAAAAAAGAAAGCACTAGAGGAGAAAGACAGGGGAAATGAGTTATAGAAAAAAAGATTGGTAAAAAGAATGAACAGCCTGGAACAAGGGGTAAAAAACCTTAACCAAGAAAAAAAACAACTTCCTGTGGGTCTGAATGAATGAAATAAGAGCCAGTGACTCCATAACACAAAAAGAAATGTTAAAGCACAGTCAAAAGATTGAAAAAATAAAAAAGTAAATTATCATATAGCAAAAACTGACCAGGAAAAGACTGAGGAAAAAACTTTTAAGAATAAAAAAATGAAAAAAAAAAAAGTGGCTGAAAGCCACGTCCAAACAAAAAGAGCCTAGACATCATGATGAAGCCGACATCTACCTAGCAACAAGGAGAGCCTCAGGGCAGTTAGGTGGAGCAGTGGATAGGGCTCTAGCCTTGGAACTGGGAGGACCTCAGTTCAAATCCGACCTCACACACTTGACACTTAACTAGCTGTGCGACCCTGGGCAAATCACTGAACCCTGACTGCCTCGCCAAAAAGGCAAAAAAAACACAACAACAAATGAGAGCCTTGCCAAGTAACTGGGAGCTCTATCTGTTGACAAGAAAATCTTGTTATTTTTGTGTATGTGACTAATCCCTACGGTTTCTGCCCATATCCTTGAGTGTTGCAAGTTAAATTCCCTGTTTTGCGACCACATTCCTGAACTGTTTTGTGACCACATTCCTGAACTGTTTTGTAAAGTATCCAACCCACCTGGTTCCCCTTTCCTGCCTCCCCTTACACACCTGCTTCTACTTTCCTAACATCCTTCCCTGTGGTTAACTGCCCACTGTAGGAACATACCCGGAGCCCTAGCTGAGTGCTCCAAACTTGTGTATAAAAGTAAGCCCCTGTCTTTTCTTAAACTGCTAGTACCCCCAAGGACTAGCCCGCCACTTTTGCATCAATGAAGCTCTCTTGATTAGGAGAACCTCTGCCCCTTGAATTTTTTCCAGACACCGACTCCAAATATCGGCTACCTCATCAATCACATTTCAAGAAATCATAAAAGAAAACTGCCCAGATCTCAGGGAACCAGAGGGCAAAGTAGGAAGCTATCAAATAGAGAAGGAAACATAAAAAGTTAAATATGAGAAGGCAATTATTAGGGATTCAATACGGATTAACTTTTTACACTGTAAAATGAGGAAATGCTATATGTATCCCCTCAGAATTCAATTTTCATCAAGTATCATAGAGGCAGTCTAATTATACAGAAAGCCTATGTTTTGATGATTTCAAAAGAAGAATGGAAAGGCGAGGGATAAGGAAAATACTGGGGGGAAGGGGGTTGGAAGAGGGGAGAGGTAAAAAATGAAGCATGGGGGAGAAGATTTTATATAACAGGAATACAAGAAGTCTTTAAAACCAAGGAAGATAGGGGGTGGAGTAGCTGACACTTGAAACTCATTCTTCCCTAACTGTTCAAAGGAGGAGAAACCATGCACCCTCCCCAAACAGGTGGAAAAATAAAAACATTTCATTCAAAAGGGAAACAAAAAAGGGGAAACAAAGAGGAAAGGAGGATAGATTAAGAGAGAGGCTTCAGCAAAATAAAAATGAAAAATTCTAAGATGTGCTTGAAAGAATAAAAAGAAAAAGATAATAAATTGGTATTGGGTTCTAGGTAAGGGGCAAGAAGAACAAAAACAGATTACACCAAACCTACAACACGCTGTGGTAGAGCTAACTCCTGGCTCTCCAGTTTCCTCTTCATTATAAAGGAGTAGGAAATAAGAAGGAAAAGTGTAAAAGAAGAGGATGAAGAGATATATACAATTAACAATCTGTAAACAATAAACTGTGAAGGTGAATAGGAAGAACTCAGACATAAAGTAGGAAGCCAATTTACACTTGAAGGAGAAAGAAAAGCACAGAGTTAAAATCAGGGACTAGAGTAAAAAAAGCAGAGGTAGCAATTAAGATCTCAGGCAAAGCAAAAGCAAAAACAGACCTAATTAAAAGAGATAAACAGGGGCACTGTGTACCATTGCCAAAAAATTAGTATTGATACTAAATATACATGAACCAAATTTCATAGCATTTAAATTCTTAAAGGAAATGATAAGTGAGTTACAGGAAGAAGTAGACAGTTAAATTTTAACAGTGAGGAATCATTATCTGAGACCTACAGAAATCCAAGCAAACAAGAAATAAAGAACCTGAATAGAACATTAGAAAAGTTAAATATGAAAGACCTCTTAAAAATAGTAAATGGGAATAGAAAGGAGAATATCTGCTTCCTCATCTATGCATGGCACTTTCACACAGCATTAAAAAACATAAAAAACAAGTGCAAAAAAGCAGAAATATTAAATGTAACTCTTTCTAACTACAA